TATCCGATCACTCGAGCGCCTTCTGGCGCTCCGTTGTTATTTTTCGCCACGAAGACTTCGAGTCCTCCGTCGATGTACAGAGTCTTATTCGTCACCGCTGACTGGTGATACAGTCTTGAACAGTAATTGTCGACAGGATCAATTCCTGTCACGTTGGATGCTCCTCTGGCTAGCGATACAGCGAGCAGAAGTATTGCTATAAGCAACGCAGGCATCCTGGTGTGCCTTCTTGAAACTATGGTCGTGGCGATGAGCGATATTGCGGCATCAGGGCGAACCAAGCAGCAAGGGCTCTATGTGCCCTCGATGGATAGGAAAAGCCGAGCTTAAGAGTCGCACGAACTCGCACCCATCTTCTGCCAATTATTAGTCTCACCAGCTTGTGCAACCCATCAATCTGACTCCCCCTCCACCATACTGACCTGCAGGGTATGAAAATCCCCGTCCGTGTGTACAGGCCAGTTTTTCCCCGAAGCCTGGCGAATCTGACAGCCTGAATTTAAATGTGTGGTCGCACTACAGGTTGGAAATTTCCTGAAATAGATGCTGGGACCGCTTATCGCTTGCACAATATCAGATTGTTGTCCAAATTGAAATGATCCTTCCTGTCAATCTTGTGGCGTTCTCAAATGCTGCGTTGTTCGGCCCCTCTCGTCTTTCGAAGAGTCAGGGTCCGTCAACCGCCCCTTGAGCGACGCCAGGACATTTTAACCCTCGCATCATCTCTCCAGGGAGGTGCACAAACCCGCATATGCATTTACGCCCCGTCTCATACTGGCCCGTGGCGCGATCTCTAGTCTGGGTAACGCCGGCTCGTGTGAGGAACATCTGTCAATGATTGGCGCAACAGGAATGTGCCAAGGCCGTGCCAAGGACCGTTTCGACGTGAACTGGCTCTCTCCGTTGCAATCAGGTCAGAAATAACTCCGTGCAATTATCAAGCTGAACCGTTGAAGGCTGGGAGAAGCTCGTGTGGAAGGCCGGTGTGCTTCATCGAGGAATGTTTGGTGTTCGTCCTTCACATTCCTTGGCGGGAAGGGCTGAAGGCTTGTTGTGCATGTAATCCCTTGCGAAGAGTGAATCGAACAAGGAGTTATTCCACAAGAGGTGGGCGGGGTATCCTAACAGCTTGAGCCGCAAATTTCCGGTGACTGAGATAATACGAGGAGCGCTTACTGGCAGCTAAATGAGTCTATTGCCGTAGACCTGCGTGCTCTGTGTTCTGAAATACTCGGCGTATCCTGTGTGAGATCGATGCGCGCAGAGGAGTCGTGAATCAAAGAGATAAGCTTTTCCTGGTCGCATACTTGGCGGATGGATCCAGGTATGTCTGAGGATGGAGTATGAACTGATGAAGTCGTGATCGACTGCGGCGTCGAACTTGGCGACAGCTTCGTGGCCTAAGGCAGAAGGGGGGCTACAGCTGGTGATCGTCTCTGCATCTGGGCCTTAGACTCTGCTGGTACTCGTTGGAGCGGTGTAGTTGCTCTCAATAATAACGCGTCACTTATGGAAGTCTTGATGGCATCGTCCAAGCAATGCATCCTGGTCCTGTCGCTACAGTGCTACTTACGAAGTCTACGGAGTACACTGACTGTCTCATTTAGGATGACCACCCCGCTCGACCTTGTTCCCTGCTGATTCGCCTATCATGTGTATATTTGTGACGCATTTGGGGTTAATGAGTTAGCCAGAGAGTCAGAAGCTGAGCTTTGTAGGATGTGTGTGTTTCTAGCTGCCGTCAGATCAGATTTGTCGTCCTATCTGTCTTTGGATTTGTCTCGGTTTCGTTCGCGGCGCGTCCAAGTCCCCTGGAGGGTGCTTCCGTCCACGCGTACTATAATCTCCTCTAATCGGAGCTACGAGTCTAACGACAGCAGATAGCGTCACCAGTTCGTATATCCGGCGATGACCCGGCGTCATGGTTGTATTGTTTCCCTTGTTATCCCGCTGCTGCGCGCCTCCTTCCCTTCGGTGTTTCGGTATGATCGCTAGTGAATCGATATCCATAGTCTCTGTGACTGAAGGTCCGTTCGGGTCGTATCTTGATCCCATGGTCAGTCGCAGGGGTTAAGCAGCATCCCATGTCATGTGGAAGCCGAGGCAGGATGTAGGGAGGGCGCAGGGCGGAGGGCGGAGGGCAGAGAATTGCGTGCATTGTGTGGTCAGGGGAGCTGTGATTTTCAATCTGGTGTCAGTTCAGTATGGATAATTCAGCTGGAGTTGTGTCGCGTGCATTGTGCCTTCAGAGCTTCGATCTTGCGTTGGATCAGTGAGTGGAAGCTGGTGGTGAACATCATAGTCCGCAGTTCGGGTATGCTAATACAGCTAATGAACTGGGTGCGACAAAGGGGTTAGATTCCATCGTATGTGATATGTGGTGTGTAATGTAGGTTTGTCCTTGTTCTCCTATGCGGCCTATCTCGGCAGTGAGTTGACTCGAGAGGCCATCGCAAATGCATTGCGTTGCGGAGTAGATGAGACGATGTGGCGTCCTTGCTGGTCAGTTGAACCCTCAAGTTGAACCCGGGTTTCAACTCCTCCGCCATGAGCGCGGTGTCTGTAGAGTAACCAGCTACCGTCTCTGATTTTTCTTGATCCTCGGCCTGCAGACCTTTCAGTAGTAAATATTATATTCGAGCTGGAATATTCCATGCCTCCGCTATAAGATTGTCTGGTTTTTATAGTCATTACCGCGACTTTTGTGGTGAAAACTTCGTCGGGTAGTCTTTTGCGGTCGATCCTGCAGATATCCCTCCTACAGCTCTATCAATGTCGTGTATAAAATATAATATCGGGTTGTATTATTTTGATATGATCTTTGTATGCTTTAATCGTGTTTTGTTTCATCTTGAGTGTAGAGTGTGCCTATATCCAAGTATATTGTGTCGATTTCGCCTTTCCATATGTTCGTCAAGATTATATATAGTTCCCTACAACCAGTGCACCACATTCAGGTAACACCCAGTGTACTTCAACATAACAAGGCAAAAGTTCAATAGTTATTATCACGGTCAAATTACTGGATGATAAATATACAATAAAACATTTAAAAACACCAATTCAAAGTCTACTGAAGCCGAGATCAGACATATTATTGAACACCGTCCGACGCACCAAATCAGATATGAACGCGCAACATCAACACTCACAAGCGAAGACATACCCACAATAGACGGATATGAACCGGCTACTACGGAAGAAGGACAGAAGAAATGCCACGCACAGATACGCGCAGTCACTTGAAGATACATAATCTAACATACAGCATGTCACATCCACGACAAGGTCAGGGTGTTCGCAGGAATTTGACGAGTCCGGAGAATGATCAGACGCGTCAAGAAGGCGCAGCGAAAAAGGCCACAACTACCACAGCTACAAGTAGAGAGATTGAATATTTTGACTGTTCGTATTCATATTAGATTGCGTTTGATGCTGCAATCTCTTCAAGCCCGGGGCACAGCCAGAAGCGTAGAGGCCGCTATGATACAGAAATTCAAACACGAACACTAGCAGACCAGTAGTGGACGCGCAAGGGTAGTAAAATAAAGCATGATAAAAGCAAACCCAGAGACCCATGACACTTTAAAAAGATCAAAGAAAACACCACAACGTCCCAGTCATACCGTAAACCAACCCGAAAAAGCAAACCGTCGCGTCACTGCTGCGGAAGGACAATCGACGCGCCGACCGCGCAGGATGGCTGAAAAAAGGAAAGCAAGAGGAGAGCGCTTAACCACCGAAACCGTAGAGGGTGCCTGAGAAGATTGTCAGAGACGCGTCAAAAAAGGTAACAACCAGAGATACTTACGGCCTTGTCTCTTCAGAGCATAGACGACGTCGAGGGAAGTGACAGTCTTTCTCTTGGCGTGCTCAGTGTAGGTGACAGCGTCACGGATGACACCCTCAAGGAAGGTCTTGAGGACACCACGAGTCTCCTCGTAGATCATGGCAGAGATACGCTTGACACCACCACGACGAGCGAGACGACGAATAGCGGGCTTGGTGATACCCTGAATGTTGTCACGCAAAATCTTGCGGTGACGCTTGGCACCACCCTTTCCAAGACCCTTGCCACCTTTGCCGCCTGTAGAGAAGAAACGCGTCAGTGACTGCGGTCAAGTCGCGTCATACTTGTGATCAAAAGAGAAGCTACTTACGTCCAGTCATGATGATAGATGGGAATTAAAAAAAGGACTTTGTGTGTGTGTTTAAATAAGTGGAGATGTCGAGATAACGACTTTAAGTGGATGACAGGTAGGATCGATGGAAGAGAGAAGAGCTTGAAGAAGTTTGGGACGGGAGATATTTGTATAGAGGAAGGAGGAGCGCGGGGAGGCTACTGGAATCACACGCTAAGAGAGCGATCGACCAATCAGAAGAGAGGATCCTCGCAGCGGGTTTGATCTCTCGGCAGCGTGACGGAACAGTGTTTGATCCCGTTAGGAATGCCTTGATCCTCACGGAATGTCGCTCACCCACTCTGATCAGGGTTGTAAAATAATTAGAAAAATTCCTGAGTACTATTAGAAGAATCCCAGATGATCGAAATACTTGACATTCTACACTTGTGGTTGGGATCAAGATGTTCTGGGTGGCATTCTAAATCAGTGATCCTGCGTTCCTATTGGCTGATGCGGGAAGCTGTCTCGCTTAGCGCCCCGAGCAAGGGCCGCCTGCATTCTGCGTACTTTCATGGTTCCTGCCAAAATTCAGTCCCCGAAATCAGGACTTATGGTGTGCTGCTTTCCGACCACTTTTTGTGATCAAAAGAAACCGCGCTAAGACCATCCATTTTTGCTGGCAACCCAACTCCACCCTCCCAGATCACCACCCCTTCTCGCTTACTACAAATACCTTGCCCCCCACCCACCTCCTCCATCCTTCTTCCATCTACTCACCACCACGACACTTTCGTCATATCGATCATCGATCTTTCATCAACACTATCACTTTTTCATCAATAAAACATCAAATTCCATCAAACCTAATCATCAAAAATGGCTAGAACCAAGCAGACTGCCCGTACGTATTAACCTTGCTGTCGTTTCTCTTGTTGTCGTCGGCCTCTGCCAAGATCGTATCACGGTCGCGTCAGTTGGCCGGCACAACCACGCGTCACAAAGAAACATCCTGCTAACAGTCTGTCAATAGGTAAGTCCACTGGTGGCAAGGCTCCCCGTAAGCAGCTCGCTTCCAAGGCCGCTCGTAAGGCTGCTCCCTCTACCGGTGGTGTCAAGAAGCCTCACCGCTACAAGCCTGGTAAGTACATTCTATTATGTACCGGTTATCCAAGAACATGTTCTAATATTTGCCCAAAGGTACCGTCGCTCTGCGTGAAATCCGTCGCTACCAGAAGTCCACTGAGCTCCTGATCCGCAAGCTGCCCTTCCAGCGTCTGGTTCGTGAAATTGCTCAGGACTTCAAGTCCGACCTCCGCTTCCAGTCCTCTGCCATCGGTGCTCTTCAGGAGTCCGTTGAGGCCTACCTCGTCTCTCTCTTTGAGGACACCAACCTGTGCGCCATCCACGCCAAGCGTGTCACCATCCAGTCCAAGGACATCCAGCTCGCCCGTCGTCTCCGCGGTGAGCGCTCTTAGATGCCTATCTAATGAGTTGTGTCTTTTTCCGGTTGGCTCTTCTGGGAAGGCGATAACGGGGTTCTTGTTTTCTTTTTAATGATCACTGGCGATACATGATGGGTTTGCTTGCTTTCGAATATCAATGGGTTCGGCACTGGGTTTCTAGTTTTTCTTCACGATGAATAGTAGGCTGCCGATTCAGCGGCTGGGATTTGCTCATGTACATTATGGATCTCTCGAGTTGCTGTCCTTCGGGAAGCACCACGTCGCGACATAGACGCGAAATGCGAATATCTATGCTTACATCAATTCAACCCAGTCCGTGTCTCTTGCAATTATTCTCAACTATTCTCGTGCCACCGTTCCTGTAGCGGTGACGCGCCACGGTCGCAAGTCGGCCGCGTAGTAGCACCATGCTTAACGAACGACTTCATTGTTAAAGCGCGAAAAGTTGTCTGTTTCGACAGTGTCCTTCGACTTCTGTCTAATCGAACCCAACTCTGCGAAGCTTTATAGGTAGTTTGAAGTCGCTCCATGTCCACAGCGAGTCTGCACTTGGCGTAGGCACAGTGGCGAACTGTTTGACATAGGATATTTCTCATATTACTACGGCAGAGTGGATCAAGTCATGAGCGCCAGCGATTCTTGAAATGTATGAAAAATGTAGCGATAACTAGCAACTGGAATGATGATGACGTTGATGCTATATACGATGCCAGGAAGGCATCCTGACGAGTCATGGAGTAGCAATGATGACGACGCTCTGCTAGCGATCACACACGTCTTCTATCATTCCCTCCTCAGCGGTACAGTAGACTAAACGATACATGGAATTTCGTAGTGCTCTATACTTGCATACTCCAAGGAATATTATTGCTCGGGAGATGGAAGAAATCTGCGACCGTGGCTGCTCTGAACTCTGGGTTTTGCCACTGGGCTCGTTAACGGCGCGGGCCTTGCTTCGGTCGGGATCACGAACAGGGACATTCTCAGTTGCGACTGAGCTCTCCTGTTCCATCGCCTTGTCATCGTCATTGGAAAGTTAGTCTGGATGAAAACAGTACGAACATCAGAGACTCATTCTGAAAGGTAATTAGACCGCTAGACCTAGAAAGTAGTTAAGAGCCAAAAGCATCCCCTGTTAATCCACGGGCCGCTATTTCAAAATCGATCTCGAAGACACCTCGTGCGCATTGAGGTAAACGTCTGCCCACTATTGTCCGCGAATAATCCCAGCGCAATGCGAGGAGTACGAATTGATGGCCGGAACCCGGCCAACTAGCTGGTCAATAGCGAAAGCGAAAGCGGGACGAAGAGCTCTCTACAAAACCGCATACAAAGAGAGTGCGCGATTCCCTTTAACGGATGATGAGCTATAGCAAGCAGCAATGTAGAGTGGCAGAATGTGTTGCAGAGCCTAGGCTACACAAAGACTCTTCGGAGGTCGAGCAGGACGAGGAGCACGTTTGATGAGACCATATCGAGACTCTGAATTCTGACGCCATTCGATAAGCCTGAAGAGGAACATGCCAAAAGATACAGCAAGTTAAAGCCACAGGGCAAGCAAATCAAAACCGATTTGATATTGCGATACTGGGACCGTCTGAAAGGATGGTATCAGATACGGCAAGCCATTGAGACAAATCCGAGAAAACGTCTGTAGGTGTTTAAGTATGTAGACCGCTCAGAGTTCCGCCTAACTAGGATTACATTTCCATACCATTTGGTATTTTTACTATATAGTAGGGATTCAAATTGTCATATAGTAGGGATTTGAATCGCCATATGGTAGGGATATCAAATGATTTGAATCACCATATGGTAAGGATACTGAATGATTCGAATCATCATATAGTAGGGATTCGAATCGTCATATGGTAGGGATTCGAATCGTCATATGGTAGGGATATCGAATGATTCGAATCACCATATGACGATTTGAATCATTTAATATACCCAAGGGAAGAGAAATTGAAATCTAAAAACAGTTGGGTGCTTATTGCTGGCAGAAAATATCAAAAGTCTTACATACCCACAGACCTACAGATGTTTTTTCGCATTTGTCCCAATGGCTTGCCGTAATCAGAGGTTTTACTTGCAAAGTCGGCCGCTTGCTAAGATGTCGTCAAACGCACGTCGACGGCATTTGCAATAGAACTGGGATACTAGCATTGGATGAACAATAATCTCTAATTAGATATATGTATATGATTAGCTGTACATGGTAAATACAAACAATACTCTTCCAATGCAAAAGACGCCATCTATAATGCAAACATAACAAGACATGAGCTGAGTCAACATCAGTCGGGTATATGGCTTCTGAACAAGGACAAACTTTTCCTGCCACAATCAAGGTGCATATGCTCTGGCCGTAACAAATGACAGGCGCATTATGGACACGTGTTAATACGGATTATTCGGTATCGACAAATACGTGCATGTGCCCGACCTGCACGCTGCTAAGTCAAGCAGGTTTGGGGCGTCCTCGACTATGAATCGAGCAAATGAGCCACTGATGGTCGAAGCCCGTTGAGAGAGAAGGATGGGACAGGTTCTCTGGACGTTCATTGCTTGAACGACTCGCGAGTGTTGACACGGTCGATATCGTAAGGGTTTCCCTCATAGCTGACGACGCGACGCAACGAAGCAGCCGTCCGTGTGGAGGCTCTACTGCGCATCTGCCGGACATCCGGAAGTTCTTCAACGTTAGACTCAGTCTCGCTGACATCAGATACCTCAGGGGCAGGTGCCTCCGTCCGGTCAAAAACTGGCTCCTCTGTCTCCTCAGACTCTGGTTCTGGGGCCTGCTGCATCTGCTCGGCAAGCTTCCGCATGAACGCATCTGATTTGGCCGCATACTCGCAGCGCTTACGAATGGTAGCGCCGTACTTATAGAAGAGGAAAGGGAACGGAACACAGGCAAGGGCCAAAAACGCCGGGATTGAGGATGCCCAATGAATTCCTGTTTTCACAAATTAGCCTCTTGTCAGCAAGAATAGATTCGAAAGAGAAATCTCACCTAGATCCGAATACATATAGGAAGTGAACAACGGGAAAGCGGCGCCGAAGATAGAACGGAGGACGGAATTGGCTGCGAGGACTGAAGCGGCGAAAATGGTGTATGCATCGATGAGGTAGTTCATGATGCCCAGGAAAACCAGAACCATACCGAAACCGAACGGAGCACCGGCTATGATGCAAACAATCCAATGGATCGACGGGTAATTGGTCCAAGCAAACCAGAAGAGTCCAATAGGGATGGCAATCGAAGCAATCAAGGTGGGCGGCAGGCGTGCCTCGGGGGGAGCGAACCCACCGTGCCTGTCTTGAACCTGGACATAACGTTTGTTGTCCCAAACACTGTAGGCGACAGCAAACATCATGCCAACCATGATTCCCAAGAATGGAAGACTGCCAACGCCTTGGTTCCAATGACGGACTCCCTGGAAGACGATTGGGTAGGCAGAGAAGAGCATGTAGAGCGTTCCATAAATGATGGCCATGTACAAACTCAGGAGGAAGACGATCGGTTCCTTGAAAAGTAGAATCCAAGGGCGAGACAGCGCGGTCTTGAAAGCTTCCTTGAGAGTCACTCTGCCCTGGTCAATGTCGATCTTGCTGACGTACACTTTACTGGTGTGCTTTGACAACTTCTCAGCGCGACGACGCAGGAGAACAGGCGCATAGGTCTCGGGAACGAAAAGAGTGCAGATAATCCAAACTGCACCTGAKAAGGCACCCAAGAAGCCCATGACCCATCGCCATCCTCCGTTCATTCCGAGGAAGCCACCGATGATTGGACCCAAAACAGGACCTGAGAAACGTTAGCATGTCGCTTAATACAAAACGACGGAAAAAATACATACCCAAGAATGGAGCGGCAGCAAAGAGACTCATTGCGATACCTCTCTGCTTGGCGTGGAACATGTCAGCGATGACACCACCCGCATTGGTCAAAGGCGAGGCTCCGAAAGCGCCAGCGAAGAAACGAAGGATGATCAGAGTCCAGCTATTCTGAGAGCCAGCACTTCCAGCATTGAAGGCCGTGAGTGCGCAATAGGTGACGGTGAAAATGATTTGACGGCCGAACATCTCACTCAGAGGTGCCCAAAGCAGAGGTCCTATTGACTGTATTAGCCTCTAACAGGTAGGCTTCGAAAAAAGACTGAAAACAACTCACCAATCGCGAAACCCAAGACGAAGAGGGAAACACCGAGCGTAGCAACCTCACTTCCAATATGGAACTCGGCTTCAATTTCTCGAACACCACCGGTATAAGCTGACGAGACCAATGCGACTGCCAGCGTCGAAACCGCAACAGTCATGGTCAAAGTCCATTTGCGCAGTTGAGTCCATGTCATAGGATTGCGGGGATCATTCTCAATCCAAACAACCTCGTATGGATCCTCCTCGGTTCCTGAGCCTTTGTAGGGATGGTCGATAATTTGCTGGGTGAGGACGCCTTGATCCACCACCAGTCGCCAGTATGGAATCTTCTGTGTCATGGGCTGTTCCATCTTCTCGGGGTTCTGGTCCCCTTTTTCGGTCGCCATGACGGGCGATTGACGGGTGCCGAACTCGAGCGGAGGTACGGTTATATACGGGTTGATCGTGGAATATTCGGGAGTAGTATATATCTGGATGAGAGGGATTCGAGCTTGTTTGTTTTCGAAAGAGCGATCGTGGTAGATGAAGAGAGATTAGGATCAGGCAGTATGAATAGTGACCGCCGAATGCGGAGGATGGTGAAGTATAGTTTTCTGGATTAGGAAATAGTCGAGGTTGTACTATATGTACAGAAAAACGTTAAAATAGGTAAGGAAAAGAAATGTATGGGGTATCAATAACAAGATAAGCAGAACAAGAACGATGGAAAACGAGGAGCAGCATGCATATATAACTTGCTTCAAGAATCAATTTTTTTTAATATTTTACCTTTTTTTTTCCCTTGGTTTTTTATCTCCTGCTTTTTGATTTCATGGCACCGTCACTGGAGAGTCATTAGCCTCGGACCCCTGCCGGCTTTGGTCCTAGAAAACGCCCTCCCGTATCCATCGATGGCCCGCAGAGGGAAGAACAAGCAGAATAGAAATCGGCTCCAGGCCAATCACCGGGTCGCAACGCCGGAATTTATGGCATTAATCGGGGTTATGCACAGCATTAGTCCGTTAGCCAACGTCGGCCTTGGCCGATGTGGAGCAGCAGCCATCTATTGAAGCTCGAGATCCATGGACGATGGATACCTCGTGGTCTGGATCATTAGCATAAGGTAGGTGGTACAGGCACAGTAGTTGGTCTGAATCTTTGTCGGTGTATCAATAATACGAAGCAGTTCTTGATCATAGCTGCATTCAAGCTTGTGTACCTCTCTGCGGGGTATGAATCAAACTGCAGAAGCATGGACTGGTACAGGTAGACAGAGTTCAATTGCATCATCAACGGTATCAACCTCGATCCCAATGCGCACTAGGGATGAATGTGCCGGGGCTTTGCATAAAATGTCTGTTTTAGGACTAGTGGCTTCCAGTACTCGGCTCTCGGCATCTCGTCGACGGAACTTTACCTTAGTAATGTAGCAATCAAAGTGCAGCCACTGCTGCAACTGCAAGCCTAGATCATCTAATCTCCGCAAGAGTCAAGACAGGTCAGTACCTTACATTGAGATGCCGGTTATCTCCGTTAAAGACCATGCTGTGTAATGTTGTACATTTTGTCCTCTTGATTATCAATCACGTATAATTTTATCACATCTGCCAGAGCCACGTAATAGAGATTTCTCAATGGAAGTCTTTGGTGTTTCTGGCCGAGGCTCAGTTCATGAAACTCCTGGATGCTTCTGGTTCTGGTGTCGCCACCGACGCTAAGCCTCAGACACGGCCTTGGCATTTGGTCTATATCAAATTTTTCTTGCTTGACATTAGTCTAGTCTAGATACTGTTCCAGATGTGAATTATCTCTTGGCAATATACAGTAGGAAATCTTATCGCCCAGTGTTTGAGTCTGGAGATGATCATGCCGTCATTTGTGATCGATAGTCTATCAATCGATCTCAATCTTTTCAAAACCTTCATAAGTCAAGACCATGGAATGGTCGAGTTTTTGATAGAAGGTTACTCCGCTCAGGCAGCCATATTTTTATCCATCAAACGCTTAGTCTACGAGTCGTGTCAGGGGATCTGTCAGTCTCAGTCTATCCCTTGTATGACCCACTCTCATTTTATCCCAATGAGTTGATACCTTACATTCATAATTATTGGGCTGCATAACTGTCGAATGACAGTTTCGCGTGGACCACGTTGTGGAAGCATATAGTTCGTATCATTTGTTCAGAGTTATCATCTTCCTGATGTATTAAGGTACGCTCTGGCGGCTCGGTATCCATGCTATCTGCGGTAGAAATATATCGTTGTATTGATCTTATGAAGCCCAAAGCACACATTACTCTTAATCAGCTCAAAAAATATAACCCATACCTAAGTGCCCAAGTAAGGTCAAATTAACGATGTTGATGATAAATCAAATCAAAGTACGGGAGTAGTGTGGTCTAGATAAACCGAGGCACATCTCCCTTTCTTATCGAAGACCGATAGCACGTACCCCTTCTAAAATCTGCCTCTTATTGTGATCAGTAATCAAGCATAGAATGGAATAATCAATTTGTTCATAAAGAATTCCTCTGATATTATTGCTTGTATTCAGGATTGTTGTCTGAGGTAGAATTAATCTGACGAACTCAGAACTCGAGATCTTGCTGTCTCCTCGTCGAGTCCTTTCCTCGGGAGCTTCCTCTTTTCCTCTTCCCATTGTCTCTCGTATGGAGCCTGCTAGTATTCGAAGACAGTATGTCAAATACTGCTACCATCCAAGATCGTCCGCCACCGCATTATTTTGGCCTAGCAGTATGATTCTTGAAATAATGGCTGGATCGACAGACCTAAATGCGGTCACCCGCTCATGATGCAGCCACTGCGAGCGCCAGCCCATATCATTCTTTCAGAGTTTCAGTAGAGGACGGACAAGATAGAAACTGGAAGATGACAAAGGATCTAGCATCAGCGGAACCTTAACATTTAGGCTCATGAAGTACTTGGTCTTGTATGGATGTCTTTTTTCAAAAATCGAGCTCACCTGTGCAATGCTCGATTCGAAGTACGAAACGTGTCAGCTCGTGGACGGAAATTCAGCATCAGCCTCTATGCGATTGTCCCGGGGATATCTAGATAATCTGTGAGCAACAGAATCAACAAAAAAAAGGCTAACTCAGGCATACGAAAGTCATTATGGATAGTCTTGACCACATAGGTGGCACGACCTAGGGGCCCCAGGTTCGATGACTTTGGCAATTGGATTGTTTTTCTGATATGGACTGGCAGGCGCTTTTTAGGATGCGCAGCGATCGCATAACTCATGAAGCTCGAAGGAAGAACTCCGGCTTGCTCAAAATCGATCACCCAGAGCTGGCCGTACTTATCGATAGGAAAATTGCTTGGGTGCACATCTGCATAGTAGCATAGAAGCGGTTCGGTACTGAAATCCACCTTATCTTGTCTCCCAGTGACACCGTTGTACCATTCTAGGCACTATCATATGTTAGTTCGACCAAGAGATTAGCTCCCCAACCAAACATAGAAAAAGACCTACTCTATTGATATACTCTTCGAGTTCTGCGGCGGAGGAAAACGGAACAGGAGGCTCGCCGTCTTCGAAGAAATGATGCCTGTAGGTGCCACCACTAAAGCTCCCAAAGACACCAGGCGGCGGTGGGATACTGATCAACTCAGAAATGGCTTGTGCTCTCTGTTCATCCGACGCAGTTCTCTCAAAGTCGATTTCAATATGCTCCATGACTATGTAGGTATATCCCCTGCCCCCGCCCCTGCCTCCGCCTACTTTAAAAGCGTGGTAGACCTCAGGAATCCGGATGGTGGCGTTGCTTCTTTCCCTACTCTTCTGACGGAAGAATACCTGCGCGTGGGCTTCCTCCATTGTGACATTGTTATATATTTGATAAAAAAGGTATTGCCTTCCGCGGAATAAGTGAGGGTATTGGAGCCAAAGCCCTTTTTCTTGCAGAGGCGCACCACCACATCCTTGGGAGGCAAGCCAGGAATGGCAGGGTTGTAAATTTCGCTTAGAGTAGTCGACATGACAGTAGCACTGTTATGTTACTTAAAATGAGGGATAAAGGGGGGATAATGTTGGGGACGATGAGCAGGATGTAGAATCCATGGATGAATAGTGGGCTACCTGATGACAAAGCAGCCCCAGAATATTAAGATGTGTCTGTGTCATTATTATGAGGGTTCTCTGTGATCACTAGATAGTGTAGATGCGCTCTCATGGTGTTTTATTAGTTGGCATGGTCTAAAGACAGTCATTTCTTTAGTTAAATTAGATGTTGCATGTATATCATCTCACAGTTTAGCGTGTCTATTTAGAAAGATCTATATATTAGCAATAAAAGTAGAGCAAATTAAGCTACGTTGTAGTCTATAAGGGGTTCTTTATTACTGTTAGTAAGTTGAGATTAGCAAATGGCCTTTGTTTACTGTCTACTGTTCTGTTACTATAGTTAGCTAGACGTCTATCTTCCTATTATTAATATTATTCTTCTTCTCTTATGCTGCTCTCACATCACAGCACCTTTCTTAATCTAGAAAGTTACTCTATATTCACCACTTTCCTTTATTCTATTGGTATGTATTTAGTAGACTAACCTAACCCTAAGAATGGCCTAATCATTATATGCTGGCTCAAGTTAGGTCATATACTGTCACGTGAGATGAGTCATATTTTAGGTCTGTTCTTAATATTCATGTTTCACCACACACCACTCAAGTTCTACTGCTAGCTAACTCCTATAGAGGAACTAGGTAGAGGACGTCCGTGCCTGGGTCAGCCCTTCAGCACCACCCTAAAGTCTGGAATCCAACATGCACAGGAGCATCCCATCCTCCTCCCTCGAACTCATTAAACAGACCAGCCATGCCTCCTAACACACTCCTACACGCAGTCACAATCCCAAGAGACTAACCCAGGCGCCACAGACTCAGATATAGACACAGACTGACTGCACCTCCATTGATGAGCTTGCCCCGTCAGCCCCCCGTTGATACGTTTTGCTTACTATCTTGACATGTCTCTACATCCACATGTGATTATAAACCCCAAATCCCCAATGCCCTTTGGTTGATTTATTCTTCTAATCTCTGTCTTGCGATTCCTGTCTAAGTAATCAATTGATAACAGGGCTTTCCTTCGACAGATTCACATATTCCGGACAAGACCATGTAAGAAGGACTTTTGCCAATATTTGCCCTTGTCTCTAGCGGTATTCCATTAAAGCTTTTGGGCCATTGTTTTCATTAAACAACTTTGTCTATCCGTCTATGCTCCAGCCTGTGTAGGTTACGTCAGAAGATGCCTTTAGTGGATTTATACTACCGGAGGTTGAGTTGCCAACTAATAGTCATTTAAAACTAAGCAAGTCTGAATATATGCAATAACATATGTGCTGGGATATTGTATTACACACTGACGTTCAAATACTCAGGACAAAGGCTTCCAGGGAACGCTGAATTTCTATGGAACAGAAAGAAGATGAATGTGATGTGGCTCAGGCTAGATGCCATAATCATCCATTAATCACTATCTAGGTAACCATACAACGAGAATACTAAGCTTGGGGGGAAGGAAGGGAGAGAGGTGAACTGTGAAGCTATCAGTCATCAGGCTACTCAAAGTCACATGACTATAATTAAGCCAGGCAGACCACCTATGGTACCTTAGGTAGTGACGAAGAACCGTCACAATTCACAATTCTCCAGGAGACCCATGTGACATACAGTCATACCCCCATCAAACTTCCGACAGCTTTGTCTTACATCTACCATCATCCACTAACCTACCATCCAGCTCCCTCGTCTAGTCATGGATGATACCTACTTCCCTGATGAGCTTTGGCTCAATAGGGAAATCCAATTCACCTCTCCTTCAACCTCTGCTTGGAAACTGACCGTGAAAATCAACGAAAACATCGGGCTTTTGAGCAAGCAAGAATCCGAGGACTACCAAGCCACTTCCTCGTCTATTGCTGAGTTTGAATGTCACCGCTCCAGTGATCCAACTCAGCAGGCACGAGTTGCAATCTACATGCAGATCCCGAATAAGGGAACTCAGGCTCTGCCCCCCGATATGCGCCGTAGACAAGCTTCTGACGAGGTCCCTAAGAGCTTACAAGAGGAGCATGAAGCCTACGAACGCCTGGCTAGTCACCATTTTACTCCTCAACTCGTCGGCTTCAAGCACGAAAAGCAAGATGTTAACGGTCTGGTTCCGGACGGATTCGTGTCTTACATAGCCTACACCAAGGTTCCCGGCGTCGCTCTGGGCCTGAGGACTTACCGCTTTGGAGATGGTTCTGACATCCCCGACGTCAATGTGGCCTCAGATGCGCCCAGTACTAGAAAGCCAGGACAGCGTATCACGCAGTATAGCATTCCCGAAGGGTTGTTCTGGACCATGCGTAGAAGTGAGAGAGACTTGATTCGGGACAAATTCAACCTGATTTACAGGTCAGCACCCAGTAACTATCGTCTGGCTTATACTGACCTTTCTCGTCATGGAAGGAAACTTCTCGCAGCAGGGGTCAAAGTCCGTTTTCCTTTTGTGAACAATCTGTTTTGGGATCAGAATACACAGAAACTGTCAGTTTTCAATTTGACTTTTTTTTTTTTTTCACAGCGGATGATAATCTAATTTTGCATTATGAATCTAGCTACATTGACGGTGTATTCGTGCCAACAGATGGAATGGTTACCTCGCGCCCGCGGGATGTGGGCTCGTGGGGGTTGGCTGTGTTTCCTGATAGACACAACAAGGGTCTCCAGGATAAAAACGACACGGATTTTGTTGCTGCAGGCTGGATTCTGTAGGCCTGTTCTCTTGCAAGGTCTACCGGTGGCTCCTTTTGGTATGTGAAGGATGGTAGCTCTCTTTTTGATGGTTTTGGTGATACCAATAGTGCCCTGGATATATTATGTTTTTGGGCACCAAGTCAAGTTAAACATAATGCTTTGCTCTACTTTTGTTCTACATCCTCGGAGAGTTTATATACAAGTGGGTCCTGTCAGGCTGTCAGGGACCACAAGACTAACAAGCTTTCCATGAGGCAACCTTAAGTGGGCCCCATGCTGATACGGTGATACCCACGTGTCAGCCATTTTTCCACCACGCTATAAAGGTGTCTAGACGACCATTTCTAGCATGGTAGAAATGATAGGCATATTCGGGTTGACACCACTTCACCATCATTGCCTATCTCAGTATTGGGGTCCTGCAAGGGGAGGATTCCTGAAATCCACGACAGATTTGTGTTCATCTTGCGCTCCCACATGAAAGCTGTTGTGGAGATTTGCTGGGGAGCGAATGTACGGGAACGAATGCTCAGGCATCTTCAGAAAAACCTACGGATCTTACCCCTCTGGGGCCGTTACCAAGGTGTGGATCTGTACTTAGAGCTTGCAGATGATCAGGAATCCGTCAAGCGGTTCATTATCTTTGCCAACCACCCGCAATTCTTCATGTTCATGAAAGGGACCAACGTTCGGGCTCAAGCGTTTCGAACAGAGCAAGGAGGCAGACAGGATCTACTCTTGGAAGTAGCTTCTTTACTTGGGGGTATTACCATCAAGTCAGGATTCTACAGGCTAAGTTCCGTACTGCTTCAACCATTCCGACCAGCAAAAGCAGTTCGAGAGCAGAGAGACGCCTGGAAAGGCAAGGCCTACGCTGAGCTCAAATCAGCCTTTCCAGGGACGATGGCTTTTACTTCAGTGGCGAGGCCGATTGGCCTATCTAAAGCCGACGACACTGAAGTATGGGACACCCAGCTGCCAGTGGTTGAACACACGCCGAAGACGACTGATGCCATAGCCAGTTTTGATCTTGCCAACGAGAAGTATATTGTAAGACGGCTCTCTTACAAGCCCCATCAGCCGCTACTTTTGGTTCTAATATTGCTTAGCAAGAAGCTCGTCTCCGAAAAGTTGCCCAGTTTTGGAGAGATCTACACGATCTAGCTGTTATGCTTACGCCTGGAGTATCCCTCGATCTTGCAGACAAGCACCAGTGTCAGCAGATAATTGCAACGATTGAATCATGTGAGGAGGAGCTTTATGCCTGGGATGAGCTCCCAAAGAGCTTACTTGAGATGATCCAAGCTCAAGAAGGCCTTCGGGTAGACCAGCGCCCAATAAATTCACGCAAAGCAGCTGAGACTGCTTATCGCCTTCTCCACTGTAAGGGCAATCCAGAATGTCTGAGTATTATTGGCCTTGCCTTCTCTATCCTGATTGCATACGGTTGGGCTATTCGTCGAACACCAAGGGCCAGAGTCCTGGATTTGATGGTCCTCGGAGCACCGCCCAGAGATATTGTGTCCCGAGTGTGTTCCGCCTGTGGAGGGAGAGTTTTGGACGACTCTTCCGCGTATTACGCTAAGAACAACCTCAATTATTACGTTGTGAGAAGTTCTAAGACTGGCTGCGGGCTCATTAACTGCAAAGGTGGTAATATCCTTCTCCACCCTCTGGCAAAAGGTCAAAACTACGTGCGTGCACTGACTGATACACTGGAGAGAATTCCGAATCCTCGCGTCCGCGGGGGTGCTCCATGGGAGAAGTACTTTCTTCGTCACGGTCAAAGTGAGCTTGGAGGTCTCCCAGCAACGGTTGAGGTTAGATGCCAAAATAAAGGATGTGAAGGTACTCTGACGGATGACGCTCCAAGGTGGACCATTCATCCAGCACCAACGATCGTAGTCCGTCAATTTACATGTCCGAGTTGTCGGCGTAAAGGAAACTTCAAGCCTGTGGATAATTCTGTCCAACACATAACGAGCGAAAGCCTTAGTCGCACATGGAGCCGGTTCAAGCAGAATGGGTGCGATCTGACACAATACCCACGACGAGCAGATGTGTACTTCTCGAACAGCCACATTACTATCCGAATCGCGCAGCTTGAGGAGATTAGAAGGCTCTCAGACCAAGATATCACAGAATGATCAACTGAGAGGGAACCTTCAGGTGGCTTGTCAACTTTCCTATACCGGACTCAATAGACACGCCACAGTCAAGCAATGAACGGGGGCTACCTTAGCCAACTTCCTTGGCAATGAACATGTCAATTACCGTAGCTAGTGCTCCATAAAAGTTCATCCAGCTCCAAGCACTCATTGTTGGTCAAGAATCTTGAGGCACTCAAGTAATGAATTCCCAATGTTCTACTAACCAAGTTCACCTAAGCTCGAGAAATTTTTCATATGACCGCGTGATGTACAGTATGGGTTATCTGATTGGGTACAAAGCTCTCAAGGTCGTACGTGGCATGATACAAGAAAAGTGTTGAGAGTGTACATGGAAATTTGACCAAGACACCCGGGGCTCTGCTGTGCGTTGACTCACTTGTGAAGTAAGTGGAATCTTCTACCAGCGATCTGGCTAAGCATACCTCCAGCCTGTAATACGTACGTATATGGCGGAAGCTTTATACCAGTAGATCATCAAAGAAGTATGTATTGTATGCAGATAGTCCAATTCCTGCCAGCGCGTTCTCTAGATGCATTTCGTGCCCTCTCATCGCTTTCTAGTCTTCCAACGTTTTTTGGATGCAGGGTGGACATTGTTTCATCCCTACAATTCAGGAATTCCTCTTCACAGGAATACTGGTCGTGTATGGCTCATCCGAAACAAGTGCTCATTATTGCATCCTAAAACGAGTAGGTCAGCAAGATTACTACCTCGCCATCGGTAGTCGTGGCCTAGACCTATGTACCCTGTGTGGGAGGGAGAGCTTTGCCACACAAAAAAAGGTTGAAATGACAACGAGGTGCTGTAGGGACAATTTACAATGCTGAAATTGCAAGATGTTAACACTCATATGAGCAAAAAAGGTCGTGCCCGGAATCGAACCAGGATTGCCAGAATCAGAATCTGGAGTGATGAACCATTACACTACACAACCTAAGTGGTTAGTCAGTGGCAAATTTAGACTTGATATAGAAGAAACTTGATTGAAACTCGAAGGAAGAATGTGTTGGAGTCTACTCGAGGTTTAGGAGAAGGTTTGTTGAGTCGTGAGGTCGGGCATGAGCCGAAGAAACCCCCTTGAGACATCCGGAAATGCTATATTTAGCCAGATGAGACCAACTCCTAACACTGAAAACCCTATAAATTCCGGCTAGAGCATTGGCATACACGTCAGTCGTTCCGGTGTCAGATCACAAGCCTATGATAGAAACTTCGTTTGATACCTTGTACAAGTCAGTACTTCATAAGGGTCCACCTAGCATGATGAAGGAGAGAGCGTAAATCTCTCGTGTTGAGGTTCACTAAGCCCTGGGGTTTGAATGACAGATATTGTAGGTTGCTCTTTGGATCGTTGCTAGACATTTGTTGAACAAGTCTTCGTAGATCTTTAAAAATGACATATATGACACTACGAAGCGGGCCAACGACAAGCTCCACGTCTCTAGCTTCTAAACCAATGCTGCCCAGAGAATGGCTGATTCTTACTAGTAAATCGGCCATGACTACCATTCAACTTTCAGGCTAAGGTTGTAGTTATTGGCCACATGACACATAACAAGGTCGCATAAATTATTTGTGAGTCCATAGATCATATGTCATCATGTCTGAACATGAATGTAGGTAGATTTATGTGCTCTTCCAAGACACCTGATCATATCGGCAAAGTCAGAATGTTCGACTTGTGGGGAAGAGCCTGAACCGTTTGCTAGTTGAGAGTCGACAGACCTCTGCAGCGGTCTCTTAACCGCTTCAACTACGCTGAAATCAAGCGTTCAATACATGGACTGCAAGAATTAGTGACTTGAGGAGGCAGGGGTCATCGAGAGCAAACTCGTTCTAGGAGACGGTCAAGCTCGTGCCATTGATGATGGTCGAATGTGTGGGCCAACTGCTAACTGCCATCTCAGGACACGGGAACAAACAGAATTAGTTTGTGTTGCAGTATATTTTAAGTCATTTCCAACAAATCAGGTTGTGTAGTGTAATGGTTCATCACTCCAGATTCTGATTCTGGCAATCCTGGTTCGATTCCGGGCACGACCTTTTTTTTTCCCAAAAAAGAAATGTTTCTTTTTGTTGTACTTCTATAGTTATGACTGCACTTTCATCGCTTGTGTTACCACATTATTGACTTAGTCTTTGTTGATAAAGGAGAATGATCTGCACCGGGCTGCTTGGGTATTGATGTTTACTACCACCCCATGCGTTGGATCAATCATAGTGTAATCAGAAAGTGAGGTGACTTGCCATAAACTTGCTAGCACCTAGCAGGTCTACATCAAAAGCTTACGCGTTGCTTCCACTAGGTGTGCTTAGCTATCTTCAGGTGCCAAAAATTTTAACAGAAGAAAAAAGAGAGGTCGTGCCCGGAATCGAACCAGGATTGCCAGAATCAGAATCTGGAGTGATGAACCATTACACTACACAACCTGATATGTTGAAGACAATCCAGGTCTCATGATTCATGAGGCTAACATCAGGGTTTTTGACCAACACAAAACGTCTCTTGAGGCTATCTGAGCAGGTGGGACACTTCCGGACCAGTCAAAAAGCCCTCAAAAAACTTCAACCAAGACAAAAAAAGGTCGTGCCCGGGATCGAACCGGGATTGCCAGAAGATCCTATATCAGAATCTGGAGTGATGAACCATTACACTACACAACCTGGTGTGTTGAACAGCCGCGCGGATTGGCTTCATATACCTATCCTGCACAAAAGAAAAGATCAAACTAAGCGAAGCTGGATTAGTGGCAGGTATTCCTGAATGCTCAATTTGACTACATCGAGTACGCGATAGGGATAGTAGCACGGTCAAGTGCCATTCAGTATCCAGCGGCATGATAAGGTAGCTAGATCTATGTCTAGTTTGAAAAGGCAAAAGGAGCCCTAGGTTTGAAATCTGAAATAGAGCATTCAGTTCAGATCTATGCCAGATGGGAGTGCACAAAAAATGATAAATGACAAAGAAAAGGTCGTGCCCGGAATCAAACCAGGATTGCTAGAATCAGAATCTGGAGTGATGAACCATTACACTACACAACCTAACTTGTTGAAGAAATCATGTTTATGTACGGAGTATTATAAGCCAATACAGCAGCCGCCGACCCCATATGCGAATTTTTCCAGGCGCTTGGCTGATTCAATTATATATATCAGGTACAGGTAATAAAGGCTGGAGTGCTGTATTGCGATGCAGGTATAATTTCCTGATTAAGGTGGTGGCTTGATGCTAGGGAGATGCGCATCAGAAATAGCATCTATATAGATAGACTCCACTGCTGGCAGACGTCGCACTAGATTCAGACTGGTGAATAGATCATAGGGTTAATAATATGGGGCTGACTTCTTGCTCGACGCCTTCAACGGTTGACGTATAGCTTCTACCATGACCAAGTCCGCTTGCTCCGCGACTCTACATTTGCCAGAGGAATTTTGCCGTGGTTCCACAACCTCAAGCTCGAGGGGTGCAGCTGGTGTGTCTACTTGCTCAGCTACGTCCCTGCAGTCTAAACCTTCAAAATCAACAAGCCTGTCCTCCGGCCGAATAGGTTCGTTCTGCGTATGGTCTTCAATTACTAGTTGCAATACATTCAAAGTGGACCATTAGTTCAAGCTCAGCTCTAACGCCGCGGAGTCAACTCATGTGACCTATGAGGCCTGTGACAGTGTAGCTGGTCTGTCTGTAGAGGCAATGCTGCCTAGGTCCTGGCGCTCAGATCTTTCAATCAGCACATCCTGCAATAACTCTTATCAAGCCTCCGCTTGGTCGTTTGAACGCATGGTGCCCTCTTCTAGCGCGTCTTCAACACCCGTAAAGCTTCATCTAACGGGTATGGCACGTTCAGCAGCGGGGCTTTCTGCCCCTTGATTTCCCTGCTTCGCAACCGCGCTGTCCACTTCCATGTTGGTTCGTTCACCTTCTATGCCCTCTGGCACTTCTGGATAGGCGACGGGGCATTCTCCAAGGTGTACTTCGTTGTCGGGCATCTCCTCCATGTCATGGTCCTCAATATCTTATGTCGTTGGAGAATGATCATGTGGAGGACTCAATCGTCATAGCCCCCATTGCCTTTGTCTCTCTTGTCATCAGCGTTCCTTTGCCTTCTGCTTCCGCCGCCTTCGGTCTTGCCATGCAGCCTTGCGACAACTCTGACCATCAATCCAGCCTCTATGGTGTCTCTGGTTTAGTAAAACAGCCGAGGCTACCAGTAGAAGTAATCTGTCATCCAGAATAAAAAGTGGCAAGTGAGGCAGGGAGCTATCTAAAGAGGGAGAACTAGTCCAGGCTGGGCTTAGCAGTCTAGCCTCCGGCAGCTGGCCAAAGAAGGCAAAGTAGAAACATCATCTCACAAAAAATATAGATGTCCAAGTTATGACTAGCAGTAAGGTGACGGGTGACTTCTTTGGGGAGCGCATTTTTATGTTGACGGACCTTCAGCACTGCCGAGTCTGCTGTCGGATCCTTGCCTCCGATGTAAACCCCATGGTTATCCTGATTCCCGTGCCCAAAGACAAGAATGATCAAGGTATCTCTGTCTCTCTTTGCGTACCGGACTTCGTCCTCCACGGGCTTGACAACCTGTTCCGGGAGGATAGTCTTGTCCACGACACGAATGTTCCCTGCAAGGTTGATCTGACCGAGAAGGTCTCTTTCAAGCACGACTCGACGTTCTTTTCTGGGATCACCGTGTGCGTATTGTGTGTATTTGTCCATCGAATCTTTTGGCTCCAAGCAGGTTAGCTAAACCTGACTCAAGGTATGGGTGTCTAAAACCGAATGCTATTGTTAGCTTAATTGTCCCAAACTATGCAAAGGCAGGGTACGCAAAACATACAAATAGGGTGAAACAGATTGTGGAATAGATAAAAGTCACTGAAGAACCACCCATCTAACTGAGGTGACGCGACACCATCAACAGCAGTAATGCCGCGGACAGCAATGATGCAGCTCCTTGGTGGTACATCAGGCAGGTGCGATGTTGTAAAGGCAAGATCAGTGCATATATTGTCCATGCTTGATGCTCTGCTGACAGTATGAATCCTGGTCGTTGAGCCTGTTGCCTGCTCATTAAGCCTTATTAGTATTCCTCCTCACCGTCCTCAGTGAAAGGAAAGAAAAGAATAATAGAAACAGAGAGCAGTTATAGAACGGTAAGCACAGTGTGGAGTGTGGAGGTGGAGTGATTCAAGTGGAGGTTAGAAATAGGAAGTTCAAGATGATGAGAGAAGTTTAGTAAAGTAATGAGGTTCTATTATATCAGGTTGAACTGGATAAGATGCTCCTTTATATACATAATTGAATAGAGAAATAAAGAGAAGCTAACCTTTAATCAGTCTCTTTACCAGTTATTTGTCAAGTGAATGGTTGTCTCACTTATCTAAGAAGTGAGGGAAGAATGAAAATTTATGTATATTATAGTAGGTGATATCCAGATGCCATTCAACATTGTATTGAAAGTGATGTTATAGTTCATAATAGGCCATAGAGTCATATAAAGTGCCTACACATGTAACTTTAACTATTAACTATCTTAAATATTTCACTCAACCTCACTCTTATATTATATGAGATTACAATGCTCTTCTGAATCTAAGTACTCATCCATTGGGACCTCATAACATAGGGTACAAGCACTATGGATCCGTCTTCGTTGATAATGAATCTGGGGTCTATACCAATTCGACTCATATCTGGACCCTCGGATAGTGTGAAGCTCGCCTCATCGCAGCTTTGCTTAGTCTCGTATTGATACCAAACTCACCTCACTGTTCTCTGTCTTCAGCTTTAGAGTAGACTACCTACCTCTGATCTTGCTCTCCACCCGAAGCCTGCATTTTACCAGCCCCTAATATCTCTACCTCTGTCCTGACCCTTGACAACTCCGTACCTCATCACCCGCCCTCCCTAAGTCATCCTCACCACTCTAGTATTCCTACCTGTGCATATTAGCTATTTAGCATTTTTCAGCATACATTCTCGACGAACGCACCCTCATTCTCATCGACCATGGCCAGAGTCCGAGTCAGATCAGGGCTACTCATGAAGAGCGCACCAAGCTGGCACCGGCGCAGAATGCGGCGCCTCAAGGGCAGGCACGGATTGGCAATCCGCCAGCGTTGCCGCCGTGTCCTCCTGCCGACGCGACAGGGCTGTAAGTACCCATGGATCCACTGATTCGCACGATCCATCAGCTGATTGATAACAGCCCGAATAATTGGTGGTGTCGAGAGGAACCCCATCGGCTCGAGACTACTAACGAGCGAGCCTCTGTTCCGGCGACTAGTGAGGCAGGTGTGCCATGATCTTGGCCGTCCTCATCTGAGGATTCATAAGCTCGCGTTCCAGGTGATACAGGAGGTTGCGGAATTCTTTCTCATCAGAGAGTTCAAATGTGAGTTGGTCTCAATCTGATATGCAGTAATCAATGTTATAATCTGATCTGATGATGATAGTGGGCGAATCTGCCAGAAAGCACGCCGGCCGTCAGGAGATTGAGGTGGAAGATATGCGGTTTGCAAGCATGGCAAGAGAGTGGTTTAGTTAGACAATGGGGCAGCGCAGGGACAGATAAGTCTGTCATACCGAATTTCCGGAAATTTTTCTTACACAGAACTATGCATCGACTTCTGTCTTTCTCTCAAGGCGTTGGCGAAGAGAGAAAGATATAGGTGAAGTTGATTCGATGGTTCGACCTCGGCGATAAGATGGACAGACAAACTCCAAATCGGAAAGTTGCGGTTTTTCGGCAGCGAGTAACATGAGGCGCCGACTATTTCTGACTCAAATTCTATGCATGACAAATGAATATTAGTTCTTTCTTACATATAGCACATATTTCTTTTTTCCTGCCTTCGCTTATTTCGTATCATTCTTTAGAATCTCATGGAGTTTTCCATGCCATTAATTTGATCCCTGGTGACCTCTGTTGCTGACCCGAACCAACATCGAGTTGCGCCTTATCGTCGGTTTTTTGCGCAACTTCTTATCGCCCTTGTCGAGTCAAATCGCCAATCGATCCACGATTGCTTTTGGGTGTCGCACATATACGGGTTATAGACTGTGATATTACCTATCCCATCGCCTCTCATGGGTCATCTTTTGCAACATGGAAGGGCGACCGTGAGGCAGTTGAGCAGACGAACAACTCGGCCACAACGATCACAACTAAGGCACCACTCCTCCGAGACATCGCCTAATCCTGTCCATGGGAAGAACAGCACATCAGCAAACGCTTCGCGATCGAGTGCTCCATCGTCATCCACGTCGTCATCCTCCCCACATACCTGTCCACCCGCAGGCACACCTTCAGCTGCCTCCACCCCCGCCCGCTCGAGTTCGCGAACGTTCTTCCAGGCCATTCAGGCAGGACCGATTGGTAGATTGGCAGAATCATACAGCAGAGTACAACAAAGGAGACCTTATGCGACGCAGGTCGTCAGCTCTATTGTGGTATATCTGTGCGGCGACCTGAGTGCGCAGTTGTTGTTTCCCTCCGACAGCCCGGCGCCGACAGCACGGGCTGCTTCTGAAGAGAATCCTGCGGACTCGGCTGAAGATGGCGAGGTTAAGGCCGCTTCGAGTGGAGGGTACGACCCTCTGAGAACTATGCGACATTTGACGGTTGGTGTGGGATCTGCCATTCCTTCTTATAACTGGTAAGTATTGTCCTACCGTTGGCCTTGAGCACATCTGGCTGATGCGATCCACCTTCGCTAGGTTCATGTTCCTCCACAACAACTTCAACTTCCAGTCCAAATTCCTTTCCATTCTCACCAAAGTCTCCGTACAACAAGCTGTCTTCACACCCGTTTTCAATACGTACTTCTTCAGTGTACATTCTCTTCTCGCTGGCGCATCCTTGGAAGAGACATTCGAGCGCTTGAAGGTCGCTCTGCCCGTCAGCATATCGAATAGCGTCAAGCTCTGGCCAGCCGTCACTGCCTTCAGCTTCATGTACGTGTCTCCGCCTTTCCGGAGCATCTTCGCCGGTGTCATCGCCGTCGGCTGGCAGACCTATCTCAGTTGGTTAAACCAGAAGGCCGCCAGGGAGGTCGAGGCGGAAATGGCCGAGTCGGAACATTCGTCTCATGTGCTGGTCTCGGGCAGTATTACCCCTTCGACAACGATAAAAGCATGAGGTACCTTTCCACGACTGCACTTTTCATATTCTCTCCTTTGCATATCTTAGACTTGCAAGCGCGATCGTTTTGAATAGACGGTAGATTGTCCTGTCTTCTTGAGCGTTGCATTTTCAACGTGTACATAGACTAGAATCATTCTCATACATTATACCCTAATACAATAACAAACTTTTCAGTGATCGTTCAGAAGGTCCACTTAAGCGGACATAAGAATGTGAAGTGTAGACTTTTGCTACATCGACATCAAAATTGCGCCAAGAACTACGCTTAATGACGTTGGCGGAGCGCAGTGACTTCACGATAAGGTCTCGATTAGAGATCAGATCCTCTTCTTCTCACCACACATGACATGAATTAATTACCATCATCACGGGCACGTTCTGCCCTCCAACATCCTACATTGTAATGCCAGGCGATTTGGACGACAGCAGCGACTACGGATCCGACTTTACCCCGGATGAAGAAGAGCTGCTGAACGATCTGCTCGCCAAAGTCGCCACAGAACACGCGACCGCCCAGGCCTCTGCTACCGCGACGGCGACAGTGACGGCAACGACAACGACAGCCTCGAAAACCGTACAGGCGACAGTCACCGCCGTCGCTGATATTGAAGAATATGCTGAAGCTCCAGCAAGTCAACGAGTGCCTAAGGTACTGGGCCGTGAAAAGCCCGGTTATCTATGGCAGAAGCGCAAGACCTGGCAGGTCTCGACGTCTGCAGGGGCAAGGGCAGATCAGATCTCGGGCGACATTTGCGCCGCGTCTGGTGAGGATTATTCCTTGATTCGTTGCAATTTGTTTGTCGTTTTGTGGAATGAGGTTGAGTAGGCGGCTGACGGTTGATTTCAAGCGTTTAGTAGAGCATCCAGATTCCATCGAAGGCCGCGAAAGACAACGAGAGAGAGACGTAGCCCGTGAACGGGAATGGATCGGTGATTCGACAACAAGTCCAGCGCCTGATTTTCGATCACCTATTGAACGATTCAGAAAGCCACCCAACAAGGCCTTTTCCGTTACTGATCTGATCTCTCCTGCATGGTGCGAGCTACAGTACTGGTATACCTTGACTAAGCATGGGAGGAAGAGGAGAACGCCCGCTATGAAGCAGGGGAGTACTATTCACAAAACGCTCGAGGATGAGGTACACACGACTGTTCCCGTGGAAATCACAACCAAGGAAGATGCGTTGGCCTTGAGGCTGTGGAATGTCATACAGGGCTTACGGACACTGCGAGAATATGGTCTTACTCGGGAGCTGGAGGTCTGGGGTCTTGTCGATGGTGAGCTGGTCAATGGAGTCATTGACCAGCTCTCGTATGAGTGCCCAGACCCGGAGCTTGAGGCGACAGCCGCCAGATACTATGCCGATGTGGAGGCCTCTAGGGCGGTAATGCCCGAGTATCAGATGTCTCTGACAGATTACCTGCTAGCTCCCTCGCAGGGCGGGAAGAGGCTGTCAGAGATGACATGGACGGATGAGCCTGATGAGCTGGTCGAGGACCCTCCCAGCACCCAATCGTCTGAGGCCTTCAACATCCCTCGAGTCTATCTCACAGACATCAAAACGCGAGCCAGCGGCTCCATACCCACCATCAGGAGCACGTCATTTCGGCCGACGCTACTCCAGCTCCAAATCTACTATCACATGCTGAACCGTCTCACCACCACCGATGAGGTGTCCATCGAGACGCTCGCCTCCCGCTACGACCTAGATCCCCATCGTACTTTCACCGACGCTTTTATCGCTGAAGTCGGCGGCCTAAACGATCAATTCTTCGACGCCCTTTCAGCCTCGGAATTCGATCCAGACTTCATCCCTTCGCCCGAAGATGCTGCACGCAGACCGTCCATGCGATCATCGGGGTCCCTCCCCTCCGCAAGCCAGGACTCAACCAGTATTCTCCTCGAACACAATAACCTGTCCAGTCTCTGGAAATTTATGAAAGACCAACTCCGCCTTACTTTCCTTCCCTCGCCGCAACCCTCCGCCTCCGTTGCACCCTCTATCCCCTCGGAATTCCAGCCTAGCATGCTAGAACCATACCCGACGATCATATCACCTCTCCTGACAGCTCGCTATCTCTCCTCCGCACCCACGGCAGACCTGCACACCCGCGTCCTGGGCAGCCGTAGCTTTCTTTTCGATCCAACATCCATGTCATCCTATCTCTCCGATCAGATGGACTGGTGGCGCGGTAATCGTGACCCGCGCGGCGTCGAAATCATGGAAGCATGGAAGTGCCGCATATGCGAGTTCCGCGAGGAATGCTCCTGGCGGCAGGAGAGAGAATGGAGCATGGCGAGACGGAAAAAGGGCCCGAAGGATCTTGATGCTGCCGTGTGAATCATGCAGTGTGCAGTTCTACTTGGATTTTGGTGACATTAGGCATAGACTTGCATTGGACTACGCTTTCTGCTGGGCCTGTTTAGCGATAGATTACTAGACTATGAGTGTATATAGCATCACTGACAAAATTGTTTCATGGAGCATATCAAAATACGGTAGTATAAAAGAAAATGCAGATGGGCCGTAAGGTAACATCCATTGAAAAAATCAAAAAGGATAACTTCGAACTTCATCCTCCTTGTCCATATCCAGGCCCACAGCAACCTGCTCCGCATGCTTCTTATCGAGATACTCCAGCAGCACCTCCTCGTACCTTTCCCGTCCCTTGTATCGCGACACATCCGCATCCCAACTCCGAATCGCAGAGGCAAGCCGACCAGGCACATACGGCTCCTTGGCAATCTCCGTGATGGGCTCAAAGTACGTCCGGATGGTGAACACCACCGCCCCGGACCACGGCAGCCGGCGCAGACTCTGCCTCTCCGACCGGAAGTAATGGTGCTCGATGGCCTTGTTCTTCTGCGCGGTGCTCCACGAGACTACGGGCGCGTCCTCGGACCCGATACTGTGCGACCAGGCGAGCTCGTCGTCGACCTGGATGAAGTAGTTGTTGCGGAGGACGGGGTCTTCAGGCCGAATCCGGCGGAAGAAGTTCATCATGCCCTTTTCAAGCTTGGTCCTGAACCCCGGGACGTCGCCGGAGGTGTGGATTTCGGAGAGGCGCATCCCGAATTTGTCTTCGAGGCGCCAGAAGCCGGCGAGAAGGATCGCGCCCGCCAGCAGGTAGTACTCGCCGTCTGGCTTTTCGAACATGAGCGCCAGGTCGTCTGGGATGAGCCGCGCGCAGGTCGCCATGGGGTCTTCGGGGAGGGGGCGCTGGGTGATGTTGAATGATTCGCCGGTGATGGTGTTGGCGATGCCTGTTGCGGTTTTGCGGAACATGGAGGGGTATCTTTCGGGGAGGTAGGAGGTGCTATATTGTATTAAAATTGTAAGATTGTGTTATGCTGTTGCGAAATCAAGGGAGTTGGCACGCACAGCTCTTCCAGGAGCTCAATCGCACCGTCCATCGCTTCGGGTGCGGTTCTGCAGCATTTCGCTCCCCTCTCCTTGATGCGACGTGCTTTGTCGGCGTGATACCGTAGGTAGTGGTTGTCCAGCTCTAGAACTTCTGTCAGCGTATGAGGCCATGGATGTGGGATGTGAAGATGTCTTGCCGATCCATTCATCCCACTTCATGCTTCTCAACCCCATCGTGATGAAATACTTCCTGTGTTGATCAGTCATGGGATCTGAGTTCACGTCTGAGGCAACTCACGGGCCATATCTGAACGGTCGATATGGTATCGGCTTGGTTGCATGGACATCCCAGTCAGGATATGGAGAGGCGGTCGGCCTCTTGAAGTCTGAGGGTATCCATTCTGCAGAGAGTCAGTGAGTCGAGAGTTTCGAATGTCCAAAGGCGTGTCTCACCCCCGGGTTTTCTGTTTGGCTTTTGAATCTGTGATGTCGAAGACGACTTCCTCTCGAGACCTTGAGCTGATCTTCTGTCGCTTCCTTTGTTCGAGAAGCGAAGCACAGAAGTAGCAAGCCAGATCAACGTTGCTACCAAACACAGAGATGCTGCATGTTTGATGTGAAGTTGGCCGAGTTGCACAAGTTCGGGAAGCATGATTTCATTTCTCTTCTAAAAATCAAGAGGAGGGGTAACCTGAATTCCTATATGACCGTGAATCCCAGAGATAATTGCTATTATATGAACACGAGACAACTGCTGAACAGATAAGAGTCCACCCCCGCCACTCCATGTTCTGTATGCACATTGTGCAGCTCAATAGAAGAGGCGACTTGCTTGACAGTGCATAGATGATTTCCATTTGCGTTAATCCGATGCGACCGTCAACTGGCCAAACACGAAGCTTGTCCGTAAACTGTAAGTCTGCGTGGGCGTCATTCGTGCGGAGAGATACCTTATCTCTATTTTGGTTTCAGGGTTGGCGTCCCGCAAGGGATTTCTTATCCAAATCAGGTAAGGTCATAGTGCCGCCTTAGTTCTCTTGACCACGCGGTGTCTCGCCTGCGAGATCGCATGTGGTGCACGAACTTGGGTAACGGCTCGAGAACTATGTACATTAAGAGAGACAGTGGTGACATCACGCCGTCTACTTTGACTCTGATTTGGCGTTCCGCCGCTGGAGAAGACAGTATTGCCCCCAGCTTCTGCGGAAACGAGCCGGCAACATAGGGATATCAGGAACCCAAATTATTCGACCTAGCGCGCTTGATTGGGACGTGTCGAGGAAGTCCTTGCAGGTTATTGTCTCCCATCCTGATTCATCGTGCACATAATCAGGCTCAAGTTCCGTGGCAGCTCGCCCTGGAAAGTACGAGTCCACCAGATATGAACATTGAGAGATATCGACCTGGTTCATGTCAGCTTGGGAAGAAGAACTAAGATGTGACGAAGATTACTTACGTATTTACCAAGGTCTTCCTCGTTCCGATCGTTCATGCCGGCAGGGATTTGCGAGGTGCCTTGGATGAGACCCGAATAGCTTGGGGCATCCGGAAATTCTCCGGGAAGCAATCCTCGAAATTCACTCTTGATAAATTTCGCGCGCATTCCGTTTGGAAGAAAGTATGATGATGGGAATCGATACCACTCTTTGCCGAAGCACACAAAACCACCGGATTGTGCCATTTCCAACTGCTGCAGCGGCTCCATCACCTTTAGGGGTGCATTGTACGCCGTGATCATACCAAGAGTTCGCAGTAGCCCGGCATTGATAGCCATAAGAATTACAGCCATCACCATGGTCAGTTTGATTTTCGGCGACAATCGCCCAATGACCTCTTTCGGGTTACTTGACCCGACGTATGAGAGGGTCATGTGAAAGGAGATGGCCGCATTGAGTGCAAGGAAAGGGTAGGCGGGATACATGAACCGTTCCTCTTTGTGCGGCTGGACAGTGAAGATGGCCAACCACATATAAAATGGCGTCACCAGAGTCACGGTCCGTAAGAGAGTTTGGACATTGGTGGCTTGAGAACGGAATATAGCCTGGAGAACAAGTATGGGTACAGCAGAAACGGCCAATACAAACCATATATTGAAGTTCAAAAGCAGATTTTTGATGTAGAATGTCCACTGCTCTGTCCCGAAGATATCAGGCCCCCTGCCTTCGCCTCCGAAAATGTTATAAGCAACAATGTTCCACGGCACAACGGCGAATTTTTGGAAAAATAAGTAGTCAACCGCAATTTCAACACCCTATATCAGTTAGCGAGAATCGCAGAGGGAGTAGCCGGAAGAAGCGCACCAGAATAGCGAGACATCTCATAATGCCCTTGACTATACCCACAAACAAACTTCCAAGAGCGCCGGCGATGAAGCTGATGGCGACCTCCTCAAGGAGAAGAGGAATGATCAGAGCTCCGGCAAAAGGCCAGCCCATGATTGCTCCGAGACCGAACCACATAATGCCCTGCGCCATCTTCTGGCCTCCCCTCCAATCCAGAAAAGATGCAAGACCTAGCATAGAAGTATACATGGTAAAACTAGACGGTAAGAATGCTGCAGACGCATGGAACATGCCCGGACTGAAAGCGACAATGATCAGGAAGAGGAGGCCGATTCTGGGGTTCAATGTCCGACAGATTGCTGAGTACAGTCTCGTCTCGCAGGCGGCGCAGACCGCTGCCAGAACAAACCGTATAGCATAGAACTCGGCTGTCTTGTTACTCGAGAAAAGAGAAACTATTTTGCCAACCACAGCATGGGCAGAGACGTAGAGCCAGCTTCGAATTGAATAGGCGGGAGAATACTCCCACGTTTGCAGCCCGTACCCGTGGTCCAGGTAGTGCGCGGGTTCCCAGAAATTGAAGACTTCATCGCAGTCCTGAATCGGAGCGAGTGCCGCAGCGACAAAATTGGAAATAAGGAACACATATAGTGTGACGTTCAGAGGGAGATAGAAAGGAACTGGTCGGGAGCTGCGAGGGGTACAGATTGTTAGCTGGAACGTGGGAGATGCCATTCGGATTGAGATACCGTCGCTTGGTCCGTTGAGAGCCATTTGTTGACTGCGTCTCCTTTCTGGCCGGAGCCATGCTGATTGTTCTCGAGGACAGAGACTCGAAGAACTATCAACACTGGACGCTTGTTGATGGACTTCGATACTACCTAGGTAATATTGTGGTTGGGAATGGACAAATCATGGGAACGGACACGATAACGATAACGAAGCTTGTTCGGCGGCCGCAGCGGCACTTTTGGCAGATCCCAAAAAAAAGTTGTTTCCGTGAAGAACAATCAGTTTCTTCACAAACTACTTTGTTCTATCATCGCGCAGGATTTATTTTTTACGGCATTCTGAGGCTTACAATGGCTGAACAGAAGCCCTCCGAACATGTTCCAGGCGCTTCAGATATCATTGATGAAGGCCCTTCGGCGAAACGACCCTGCATGAATGATACGCCACCCATCGCATCGACGCCCGTGGACGATGGCAGTGATTTCTACAACACTCCCTGGACGGCAGGAACACCAGTGGATAATAGCAGTGAGAACAAAGATACTACGGATACGGATATGACTAGCGAGCCGGCAATATCATCTAAACCTGCTTCTTTAATACCAGGATTGAGTCTCATCAATGACAGTCTTCAAGAGCCGCAACCCGCGAAAGAGGAATCTGCTCCAACACAGAACATGCACGACGAAATGACCCACGATATGACCACTGGAAAGGGAGTAACGGAGAAGGATACACAGCATGCGACAGAGACAAAAGACCAGGTACAGATGGCGCCAAGTTCTGAAGACGCCCAGCCGATGGATGTAGAGCCACGCAAGGAACAGCCTGAGCAGGAGGAAGCCAAAAATCAGCGCGCAGAGGAGACTCTGATCAATGAGAATAATACGAATGATGCGGCCCCCGGTGCTTTGCAAGATCATGAAGCTGAAGAGGAGCATCCCGAATGGGAGATTGATTCTTCCCCATATGAATCATCGTCTGACGATTCTACCACCGATTCTTCCGATGATAGCGACGACGACGAGGACTATCCGATTCTCTCCGCGGAGGAAACGGCGCGGATTCTGATGATGGCGGAAAATGGCTCTGATGATGAGGGAGAAGGCAAGGGTAGATCAGGCGGCAACTTGAGGACCGCAAATGAAATTCCGGAGGAAGCGCCTCCAGTCCCAGAAATCACTGTCACACCTGATATGAAAATTGTGCATCTGGGACATGTGGAATCCATCGTTGAAAACACCCTTCTTATCACAGCCAACGTTTCCGGAGAATACCAAGTGCTCGAGTCAGGTTCTTTGCTCTGCCTTGAAGATCGAACAGTTGCTGGCGTGGTATCAGAGACTTTGGGACGTGTCGAGAATCCATTGTATGCGGTTCGATTCCCCAGCGCTGCCGCTATCGAGGAGCGTGGTCTCTCCAAGGGAAAGAATGTGTACTACATTGTGGCTCATTCGACATTTGTCTTCACTCAGCCTCTGAAGGGATTGAAGGGAAGCGATGCATCGAACTTCCATGACGAAGAAGTTGGCGAGGATGAGGTAGAATTCTCCGATGACGAAGCAGAGGCCGAGTATAAGCGGAGATTGAAGCAGAAGCGACAGGAGCGCAAGGAAGCCAGGAATGAAAACGGCGGGCCGTCTAGGGGCAGGAGAGGACCACCTGGTCCTTCGAAACTTAGCCAGACTGAGCTCAACTACGACGATTCCCCGGCAGCCGAAGACGGCTACACTCCACTTGCTCGCCCGAAGAATCTGCATGAAATGATGAGTCAACAAGAGGCGCCTGTCGAGGGCGAGGGATCTTCGAGGAGTCCTGCCTTCCGTGGTGGTAGGGGTCGGGGTAGAGGCTCCGATCGTGGACGAGGCAACCGTGGCCGTGGTGCAGGAGGTTCAAGAGAAAGTCGTGAGCATAGCACATACCACGACCGTCCGTCTTACTCTCAGCAGCAAAGACCATTGGATGCCCCGGCTCAACCCTCCAACTATAACCAGCAGCCGAGCTATCCTCCGGCTCAGCAGAACGTCTATGGCATGCCTCAGCAATTTGCTCCGTTCCAGCCTTTTACTCAGCAGCCTCAGCAAGCATTTCCTCCAGGCGCTTTACCGACACAATTCAACTTCCAGATGCCTTTCCAGCAAGCTTATCAGCAGCCGAACCCCTACCAAAATTTCCCTGCCATCAACCCCCTATTTTTAGCTGCAATGCAACAGCAGCAGCAGCAGCAGCAGCAACAACAACAACAACAACAGCAGCAGCCCCAACAACAGACGTCTGGACAGCCCCAGGTGCAGAATCCTACAATGAATTTCGATCAGGTCAAGGCTCAGTTGGATCTTTTGCGGCATCTGAGCAACGCGAATCAAGGGCCTCCGCGCTCATAATAATTTGATATCATCTGGATCCTCTAGCACTTCTTATTCTTCTTGCGCTATGGACGGTATCAGGGTTTGCATAATGACACTTGCATTGGGTGGGATTCAAAAGTTACTTTATAAAATCATGTGCTCTTTGGGTGTTTGTCGAATGTACAGGACGGTTGCTCTGGATGGTTGTAGCTCATCATGATGTTGCTTTACTTCTAAATTACAATGCTTCCAATTGATCGCATCTCTGTCATAAGGTCTCTTCGGAAGAAGACTAGAATCGATAGCTTCAGCGATTTACACTTCCTTGGGCTTCGCACTTTTTGCCAGGACCCAAAAGTTCTCCATCTTTGCTCGAGTCAAAACGTCCTTCGCTTGCGAGTCCGTCTCACAAACACGAGCACCCAACCATTTTCTGAATGAACGAGCTTTAGCTTGGCCTTCCCATAGTAGGCTGCATGTGTTGGAGCTGAGATCCTTCAATGCGCCGGTTTTCTCGTCTTCTGCTGACAGCCACGAGGCAGAGGCTTCGCGATTGCCTTCTCGCACACCGTTTGGCCCCGCGTTCTCCGTCCAGTCAATCCGATTCAACATTAATTTCCTGTAACTGTTGATAGAGTGGGCGCCTCCCTCCACAATGACCAGATTGAACCGAGGATGCATGATGCAGACTCCAGTGAGCGCGTTCTGTTCGGCGTTCTTGCTGACTTTGAAACGATGGCGCCCATTTGCAAGACTGTCAATTCGGTATACGGAGACATAGATACCCATTTCTGCATCTTTCTCCTGTTGCTGGGCAATTTTCTCTCGCTTTTCCTCCTTTGTCAATTTCCGAGCCTCATTTGTAGCCTCGTGCTTTTCGCGACGCTCTGCAATCTCTCGGGTCACACGCGCTTCGACTGCAGTGGGGTCTTTGACAGCCTCTTCGCCCAGAACCCGCATGAGATTAGATTTCTTGACCTTTGGTGGAGGAGCCGGTTCGAGACCCAATCGGATCTTCGCCTGTTGCTCTTTGAGATCGGCCATTCGTCGCTGACGCCGAATCTTTGCCTGTTCCTTTGGTGTAAGATACATCGGCTTTTGTCCGGGCATATGCTTCTCCTGAGGAGGTTCGAGAAGAACCGGATGCTGAACGTAGACAGTAACGATAGAATCGGGTGTGTCGATCTTGAGGTTGCGTTCGTCATCGATAGCAGAGTAATCGTTGCCATTCACCAAACCCTCGTCCCACCATTCGATGGCTGGAGGCGCAGGCACAAGGAATGCTTTCTCGACATCCAAATCCTCATCAATACCAGCCTGTCGTGCTCTTTCTGCGATGCGCCTTTTCATATCCTCTAGTTGGGCTTGCCGACGTAGAGCTGCCGCCTGCTGTATGTATTTGCCCTTCTGATTGAATATCAGTTGCCGTGATTGTCTGGGCTTCGCGATAGTAGCTTTAGGACCAAGGCTTGGATCAAAGTAGGGATTACTCTTGATCTCTTCGAGCGAAGGCCCTGACAAGTCGAGTCCAGCCCGATCCTTCGTGCCAGGCATTGGAGAGTCTGTCCGTTGGCTCGTCCCGAACTTGGGCCGTCCTTTACCACTTCGAAAATCTGTAGTATCTGAGAGAAGCGCGGGATGAAGGCCAACATCCAGGCCGCCGCGGGCCCGTGACGAACCATCGTCATCGTCGAAGGGAGGAGGTGGTGGAGGAGGTGGAACAGGAGTCCGTTGCTGAGCAGCCGCGTTGGCACGTCCGGTAGCTGCTGCAACTCTCGCTTTCATTTGTTCTAGTTTCGACATTGCTGAGGTAGCGGGAGGAGGTGTAGGACTTGGGCTTGCAGCTGCTGGTGTGAGCGCTGGAGCTCCGCCTCTGGCGGCCTGAAGTCTGGCGCGCACGGCCTCTGCCTTCGCTCTTGCTTCCGCCACCATCTTCTCGATGTCCACCTTCCCGGCGGCAGCGTTGCCTCCTTGCGTTGGCAACGGCGAGCCATTGTTGGAACGAGTTCTTTTCTGTGCGTTATTGTCTTCATCCTCGGGATGAGGCCGCTTCAGCATGTTGCCAGACACGTCCGCCATGACTCAACCACGTTCCACTCACCCACAAATGACTGAGGAATGATATGTGAGAGGTGACAAGACAAACGTCACAAACCCCGGAATGTAGCTAGGACCGGGAGGTGGTACAGGTAGAATGGATGGACAGTGGATAATTATGATGCGGAACAAATCAATCGTAAATCACGGGGTGAGCATCAGTGGACCACTTGGCGGTAGCGCACGGCAGAAAAAAGTTCTTGGGGTCAACTTTTTTGCAGCATCACCGCCGAACGAATCCGCCATTTATTTCTCCAGACCAGCAGCCAAAGGAAATCGAACTGCCAGCGATTTCTGTCGCTCAAGGAGCTGCAGGTAATCATGGCGACGTTCGCACGGCCTGTGGCCTCGTCAATTTCGGGTATTGAATTCGGAGTCTATTCGGATGAAGATATCAAGTCCATTTCCGTAAAACGAATTCACAATACCCCGACTTTGGATTCTTTTAATAATCCTGTCCCTGGTGGTTTATACGATCCGGCTCTGGGTGCCTGGGGAGATCATGTGTAAGTCTAACACTTATGCTATGCTTCTTCCTTCTACTAGACCTATCGCTGGTTATCGCTACTTCGGACTTTTTTTTTTTTTCGCTGACCGCATTTAGCTGCACGACCTGCCGTCAGAATTCGTG